TTCTCACATTCTTTCACACGTATTCTATTTAATATATGCCATTCGCTTGTTATATTCAAAATTCTTAGGTCTATTTTATCATTTCATTTTTGTCCGTCGTAGACAGCAGACTGGCTGTTGAAAGCTCACAATTTTAAACAATTTTACCAGAGAACGTTTTTTACCTCTTTTATGATGAATCCTGGTATCGGATCTTCAATATTTTTAAGTAAACCTGATAGTAGGCAGCCTTGTCTCACGCCACGGTTTATAGGAAAAAAGCATGAAGCGTGCCCGTTGTTTAAAACGCAGCTGGAAATGTCAGCATGAAGAGATTTAAACCATTGAAAGAAATTAGGACCAAAACTGAAGTGGGTAAGGACTTTTTCTAAGTAGTGTCGAAAGCTTTGCGAAAGTCAGGGAAGATAGCCATTCCTAGGAGGTTTTCTTTGTAGGTGTAGAACATTAAATCTTGTATTAGTCTAATATTTTCGCCAATATAACGTCCTTTTACGTATCTTGTTTGATCAGCATTTATTAATTTGGGAAGAACTTTTCCTAGGCGTTTGGCTAAAACTTTGGTGAGAATTTTATAATCTACATTTAGCAGTGAGATCGGTCTAAGATTTTCTAGAAGTGTTTTATCCTTATTCTTTTTTGGGTCTTGAGAGAGATAATTCCACACATTTGTGAAATTGAAAGGTAGCCTTTATGGAAAACATGATTGAAACTGTCAACAATTGAGTTTTTCAGTTCAGGCCAGCAATATTTTAAAAATTCAACAGACAGTCCGTCTGTGCCGGAGTTTTGTTTGCGGAGAAATCCTTAAAGGCATTTAGCGCATCTGTTTCTTTGATAAGTCCTTCGCATAAAGCTTGTTCATCCCCGTTCAAAGTGGGGACGGCACTTGGGTTAAAGAAAACGTCGTTGTCGTGGGTACTTTGTGCGGAAGATACTTGCGATTTATAGAGGTTTTCATAGAATCTTTTTTGTTCTTCTAAGATGCCAGATTGATTAGTTGTGTTCAAGCCGTCACTCAGCTTTAATCTAGTGACAACTTTTCTTGAGTAGTTTCTTTTTTTCGAGACCATAGAAATATTTGCTGTTACGTTCACCCTGTTCGTGCCATCTGGCTCGGCTTCTAAGAATCGTTCCGCGCGTTTTGTAAGCCATTAGGCTGATTTAGCAACAGGACGGGAACGTCAGATGACGACTGCAGGGCCCGCGGAATAACCTGGATTCTGTCCTAATTTGACCATATTTGGGTATTTGTACTGCGCGCGCCGTCGTCAAGTGACGTTCCCGTTCTCTTGCCGAATCAGCCTATTATCTTGTTTAGACGTGCTTTGGTTGAGTTGAGCTCGTAAATGATTTTTTTTATTGTTTCTGTGTTTTTTTTTTGTTTTTTTTTCGCTTTCGCGATTAGATCATTAATTCTATTTTGAAGGAACTTTTCCTCGTCACGTCTTTCTCGAGCTTTAATTTTGGTGTATTTAACCGTGAAGCTTCTGATTTCCATTTTAATAAGGTCCCAACGTAGCCCTAGATCTTCAACAGTTTGATACTTGCTTTTAAATTGTGGGAGGTTTTCACGTAGCCGCGAAACGTATGGATTATCTTCGAGAAGGGAATAGTTGAATTTCCAAAAACCTGGTCCTTTCTTTTGTTCAGATGCTTCAGAAATGAGATTAAGTTGCACAGCAGAATGATCGGTACTGGGTGTAAAAACAATTCGACAATCTGAAACGAGGCTGTTCAGCTCGTTGGAAATTAGAAAGTAATCCAGCCGACATTGCACCTTAAAAGACTTGTCTCTCAAAGTGAATTGACACGCGTCAGGATTTACAGAGCGCCATGTGTCGCAAAGATCGCACAATTCGCAGAGCTTCTTAATTTCATTTATTACTGAAAGTTTTCGTGTGAGAGGGTTTCCTCCCTTTTTATCGCACTATGTTAGAGCACAGTTAAAGTCGCCACCAATAATTATATTCTCATGCGGGAATTCTTGAAGTTGATTTTGCAGATCATTAAAAAAAGAGTACTTGTTGATTAACATCGTTAGGCGAGTATACGTTAACTAAAATTAAGTGCGTGCCTTCAGTTATTAATTTGGCTATGATGAACCTGCCATTTTTGTCTCAAGTAATTTTCTGAATTTTGTAGTCGAGCTTAGGATTTAAAATCATGACTTCGAACTTTGCTAAACATTTCTTGAACTTTAAATAATTTCTACGGTTTTTGTCTGGCAGCAGAGTTAAGTGGAATTAGTTACATTGTCTTACAATACCAACGTTTGGGACCTTTTTTGTTGTATACAGTCTGCTTTATTTATGTGGGTGGTTAGTAGTGTTATGTGTCCTCTTATTTCAGAAAAGACTGTGAATTACTGCACCGTACAAACGTTTTTTAACCATCCGAAAATAACGGCTACCCGAAAGTAATGGCCCCTTTTGGCTGCTAAATCCGAAAGTAACGGGGGCTGTTACTATCGGAATTCTACGGTAATAAGGTGTTGTAACATTATGGCATTCCTTGGTAGCACAAGAGACGGAAATTTCTCAATGGGAAGTACAGGATTTTTCTCGAAATTGACTTTTCGGATGAATAAAACAATTTTAAAACCCATTGGGTAAGTAAGTTACTATATGCTAATGAGGTCAAATTTTGACCCAATATGGTCTGTAAGCTCTCGCAAGCGACCAGGTTTGACATTTTGGGTGGACGCTTACGGGAGGTTCGACTGTAATCCATTTTTGAAATATCATCAGTAAACTGTCATTGCTGTAATAAATTAATTCTAATCGTTTATGTCAGAATTTTCTATCCAGAAATTAACTCAGGTTTCTAAATCAGTTTACGCAAAACCCTTTGTGATAAATCATCACATGGAGTGCTTTAATGTAAGCTTAAGTTTATTATTTTTAATTCATTTGCCTTTTTGCTGGGGCAGATGATTACCAAACAGTCTGACTTTCAAAGGTAGATCAAGGAGCTCGAACGTTGCCCGCCGACAGACACATACAGATCTAAAAAAGAACAATTACGTACTCACGTGGTTTACGATGAAATATCATTATAAACAGGGGGTCTTCTTTGCTTTCCTCGAAAACTTCAAAAATTATTTCACTCATTAGCAGTCGTGAAGTTTAACAAGGGACGTGATAGGGCAAATATTCATGTCCAGTGTTCCTCGTCATTTCACACCGATAGAAACGCTTATAAAAGTGCGGATTTTTCAGGTCATGTTCTGTTTGAATATTTGAGATAATATATTATAATTGTTAATGTCGTTGTTCCTAGCGAAAGTAAGTTAACCGTGGCGACTTGCGATTGAACCAGAGCTATTACTCAAATACGAACAACTCGTGATGGCGTTAATGGGGGAACACTGCCTTGCGTTTGGTTAGCCCATGCGACTTCCGGCGATAGCGTGACAAAACAACCTCACTTATCTCCCCACACTACGAGCTGAATGACAGACAGCACGTGCTGGATCGGACAAGAGTATCGGTTAGCAAGCGATGTTCAANACAGCACGTGCTGGATTGGACAAGAGTATTGGTTAGCAAGCGATGTTCAAAGGCGATGAAAAAACAACAAGCTTGGGGGAAGTTGCTGCGCAGACTTAACCGCACCACACAGGAGTGACCCTTTGTTTATTATGCAAGAATTCATGACCAACCTCGTCTCCAAAGGGAGGGAGGGAGGGAAAATTAAACGATAGATTTACAATAAGTAATAGCTACGTTGCTTAGACGAACTCAAAATGGACTCTGAACAGTTGTCTGAGCTTTTATATGGAGACATTCGTCTGCTGGTGAGCCAGTAGAGAAGGCTGTACTACCAAACAGCTTACCCTAGCATGTGTAACATCTTAAACATGAATAGTGCTTTAATGCTTTGCACCAATGCTATGGTTTGTTATAACGTTCTGAAGGTAGCAAAGCTACAATGTTTTAGGTTTAGCTACAACAAAGCTTACAGTTTGCTGACCTTTGGAACACAACTGCTCAATAGCTCTATAGAAAGAGATGCCGCCATGAACGGTTCATTCAGAACGTACGTCACACTCCATTAACTATATTTTACTGGCGTGACAGTAAAATCTCATTTAAACAGTTTTGTTCTTCATTAATATTCATATATTTTTGATTATCCGGACGTACCCTCCGGATAATCGAGGTTCGACTGTACAAAATAATGATGTTGGCGTAATTTCCAAAACTCGTAAAAAAAAAAGGTTTCTATTTTTTTTTAATCTTGTGTGATTAAACGCCTGAGTGGGAGTCTGTAGGCCGTCAAGTGACCTGAGGTTTTTTGTTAGCTACAAGTCATTTAAATGTGTATCATGGAAATCCACAACAACGATATTATCTCCCTTCCCAATTTTCTAGCAACAAAACAAGGACACTAATCAAAGCCAACGAAGACCAGGACTTTTGGTTTTGTGGAAGCCCAGAAAAGAGGCATTTGGAATGTCTTAACTGTGGCGTGTTTTAATTTCTTTCTTGAATTTTTCGTTGGAGGTGTTTCCCTAGTACATCCATGTTGTTTATCATCATATTCATGTGACTTCTGAATTCATAGAAGGCT